CAATATATATTCACATCACTATGAAATAGTGTATATCTAATATGTCTAATCAGAAATTCTATCAGCTAAAAAATTTTTTTAATTTAAAAAAAAATTAAAAAAATAATTAAAAATGAAAACAAAAGAAAATTAAAAAAAATAATAAAATAAATAAATAAATAAATAAATAAATCAGCTTATTAAACACATAGTTCTGACTGCAAATAAAATGTTAGTGTAACAAGTTTATATGATCTTTCATACCAGACACTTTTGCCTGACTAATATATGCAAAATAAATGTTATAATATGAAAATAAATTGCAGACCCTGAAAAGGAGTGCTGATTAAACGTTTTATTAATATTGTTATTTTTTTCATTTATTATTATACAGCAATCAGAACAGTAATTATTACATTCTAGGAGCTGCTATGCTAATGTGTATAAACTAAAAAAAATAAACTAAATGAGAATAAATAAAGATAATTACATAAAGATAGTAATTAATGATATTGTTTGATGAAGCTTAAAATAAATATGAATCTGATAAAATAATTATTTCAGACAACAGTATCGTTCTGGAACCCTTATATACATTTTTGAATACAAAAAAATAAAAATATTTCAAGTATTTTAGTTTTGTAAGATTTCATTTCAAATACAATTTCTTATACATAATTCTTTTCCAAGATAAATACTCAAACTTTTATTAAGATTTTATAAAGATTTTATTAAGACGTAGTAAAAATTAAGCATACTATAAATTTCTGACCATAGAAAAAATAAAACACCTCTAGTACGATTATGAACTTACACAGGTCGAATCTGAATAAGATCATAGTTTTTATAAATATATATCAAAACTACAATACGCATATAGTGATGATTGATTACATGTTATCAGATAACTATAAAAACATAATTTACCCAAGTTTTGTATATATTATGATAAAATATTTTTAAATCTATTCAATCATTTTTCTGGAAATACAACAATTAGTTTGAATTGTGTAATTGGTATCGTCATGAATGATTCCAGTTACACGCATTCGACGAGATTGTAAATTACATGTATTGGTTTTGCAATATGTATGGCGTTATGCTGTTATATCTTCTTAGGATTTAGAATACCAATATACATAAATTATAAATAATTTCTTATAATCGTCATAAAAGCCCCGGGATTCTGAAATTTGTTGTTATATTTTTTTTTAATTAAACAGAAGCTGGTAATATATATTTTTATAATTAGTGTCATATGACTATGAGTTACAGAACTAAGGCTTATTAAAAAAATTTAAATTTATATTTTTTATGGTAATATATTTAATATTTTCAGAATTTTTATCTATTACTCAAACAATTTTAACAACATTAAGGCTATGTTAAAAAACGTTAATATATTAGAAAAATATTAATTCTATTTATTTATCTGATAAATATTAATTTTATACATTAAGTATAAAATAGAAAATTGTGTTTAATATTGACATTTTGCAATTATTACTACAAAACAAAATATAACTAACAAAGTTTATTATTATATTATATAACTAAAAAAATGTTTATTATTTTTTTATTATTTATTTATATTCATATACATTTTTATGTTTACCAACATAATTAATTTTATGCAACTTACGGTTCGCGCTGATCACGATAAAAAAAAATAATAAAATTTAAATTTAAAAAATTTTATTGAGACATTAAAATTAATAGTTAATTGAATAAAGAGTTAATTGAATAAAGAGTAACAGTACAATTAATTATATTATTAATTAATTATTTATTATTAATTAATTTATTATTAATTATTTTATTTAACAAATTGAAATGAATAATTATTTATATTTTTAAAATAAGGTTTTTTTTTAAATGAGAGTGAAAATGGGAGTTATGTAATTTATATATTTAATTATTACTATTCACATTTACATTATATTAATTAAAATTATTTTAAAACAAACACATATAACATCAATAAAGTACATATATATAATTTTAACGTTTCACATCTACCTGGTTTTTTGGATATCAATTTTTAATATTTTATTTTAAATATTTCAAAATATAAAAATTGTAAATAATTAATAATTAAATTAATCAACTTCCCGTAGAATAAATTATTGTAATTGCAAAAAAATCGAAAATGAAAATTATATTATATCTTTACGTTTCAAATGTTTGTGAGCATTTTGGCATACTTTAGAAAAAATTAGACATTTGCACATCAAATTATCAGAAAAATAACTCTGATGTTATATAATATGAATGAATAAAAACAAATTAACCGATATTTCAATAAGTACAAATTTTGTTTACTTTTCTATGGGTTTCATATCTGTTAGACTGCGGTGCGGCGCTTACGCGCTTTGATATTTTATGTCCAAACAGCTACGCAGTGCGATTGCTTTCGAAAAAAGTTCAATATTTTCAACAAATTTCTAATTAAAAAAAATCAGATTTTTCAAAAAAGTCATTTTTTTTTTTCAAAAAGTTCAAAATTGTCAAAACTATTTTTTTCAAAATTTCCAAAAAAAAATGATTTTTTTTTTTTTTTAAATAATTTTTGATACGGAAAATTACAGCAATTTGCCTTGAAGCACGATGCCATGCATCACTAGGTTTTTATGTTATTTAATAAGTACAAATTTGTTTACATTTTCCATATCTGATAGACTACGGCGAGGCGCTTACGCGCTTCGATATTTTATGTCTAAAACAGCTACGCAGTGCGATTGCTTTGGAAAAAAGTTCAAAATTTTCGAAAAATTTCTAATTATAAAAAAATCAAATTTTTCAAAAAAGTCAATTTTTTTCAAAAATTTCAAAATTATCAAAAATCTATTTTTTTCAAAATTTCAAAAAAAAATCGAATTTTTTTTAAAAAAAATAATTTTTGGTACGGGAAGTTACAGCAATTTGCCTTAAAGAACGATGCCATGCACCACTAGTCTTATGTATTTTAACAGATTATACCAGCAATAGAAATGTATATTTTAACTTGGCGTTCGTCGAACGTACAAGTCCCTTTCATAACAAAGAACAGCTGTGCGATGTTTGATACTCACTGCACTCGTTGGAAAGAGGCATGTAAATTCAATAATGAAATACATACTATTATTTAGAAACACGTACAAACATTTTTTAAAATTCGATTTTTTATACGACTTACTAGAAATAATGTACAAAATATAATGATATTGATTGATTGACATACATTGATTTTTCACTATATTAATTACTGTACACCCATCACCCGTTTTACACGTTTTGGATCTTAAACGATTTTTCAAAATATTTTTTTTATAATGAAATTTATCAATTTTGCATTTACACGAAATTATAAATACTAAACTATAATTTGCTTATATCTACAATAACACTACAAAATGTAAGTTACAGGTACGAATTCTTAGTACATAGTATATATGTATGATGCAAATGAAGAAAATATGTGAACACTCCTTTTTATGATCAAAACTAAATTTTATGTCCGTATATGAAAAAGATGTAGAACACCCCGTTTTATGATCTAAACTAAATATTACGTGTGTATATGCTAATTTGTTTAAAATACCAAAACAAAGAGCATCATTATATTTAAACTTTGTTTTTAATCAGTACTTATGTATAATTGATAGCGTAAATTTATTCAAGGCGAGCAATTAACAGAATTATTTTTTAAAAAATATATATTTATCTAATCTTTTATAATTCGATAATGGCAAAATATAAAAATAAAAAACTAGAAATTAAAAAAAAAGTTATATCTTTACATACCAAAATTAAAATTTTGAACCGTCTCCATAATAATGAAAAAATAATAAATGTTGTTAAGTTTTATTTATGAATGAAGCTATAATTTATTTAATGTTTGTGATATTAAATATATTAATATTTATTTTTTGTTAAAAGTGTTTGTTACTCGTCATATTAAAAACTGGTAAAATGGGCATTTTTATGGTGATTTTCGTTTATCACGGTTTTTCCATATAAAAGTAAATTAATTTAATTCCATATTGAAGTGAAATTTTTAATTATTATTTATAATTTAGTATTAATAATTTATGATGTCGTTTAATTTCATTCAATTGTGTGTTCAGATTTACGCCGAGCAAAAATGTCATTAGAATTTATAAGTGTTTGTTATTCATCATAATAAAAACTGGCAAAATGGGCTTTTCATAATGATTTTTGTTTACCACGGTTTTTTCATATAAAAGTGAATTTTTCGAGTTTTTCATGGAACCTTTTTAATTAATATTTAGAGTTTAGTAATAATAGTTTATGATGTTGATTTATTTAATTTAATTGTGTGTTCATATTTACGCCGAGCAAAAATTTCATTTCAAAAAAACAGGAATTTTATAAAAAAATAATAGATATTCCCAATTTTTACTTATGAATGAAGCTATAATTTATTAAATGCGTTTTATATTAAATGTATTAGAATTTATAAAAAAAATAATGGATGTTCATAATTTTTACCTATGAATGAAGCTATAATTTATCAAATGCGTTTCATATTAAACATATTAGAATTTATAAAAAAAAAATAGATGTTCCTAATTTTTACTTATGAATGAAGCTATAATTTATCAAATGCGTTTTATATTAAATATATTAGAATTTATATGTGTTTGTTATTCATCATAATAAAAACTGGCAAAATAGGCTTTTCATAGTAATTTTTGTTTACCACGGTTTTTTCATATGAAAGTGAATTTTTCGAGTTACACGGTTTTTTATGGAACCATTTTAATTAATATTTAGTGTTTAGTAATAATAGTTTATAATGTTGATTTATTCAATTTAATTGTGTGTTCAAATTTACGACGAGCAAAAATTAGCTATAATTATTTATTTTTTTTTATATTTGAAATAATGATTATTTTTTCACTAATAAAAACTAGACAACGTAACTAAAATTAATTTCGAAGAAAATCAAATAATTCCAAACTGCTGCACTCTCGTACACTCGTTTCAGAGGAAAAACTTAAAAAGTCAGTTCTGTGTTCTGTCATCCAACGGTTGTACAATTCAAACGTATCTCTTTCCTCCGACCAATCACCGTCGAGTGCACGCTCTCGACCAATCGCGTGCCGGCAACGTCATACGCGTCACACGCATAGTATTTAAAGCGTCGCGCGGCCGTCGAATGCTTCAGACCGAATGGACGTGTACGACAGAGAGTCTGTTTGGCACGAAGTTGCTTAAAGCCTTCAGTGGACGCTGAAACAATTAAAATTATTCTAGTCAAATATTACATTGGTAGTTTAAAGCCTCGTGTGTGCTTGAAGACAAAAAGTGCCTTTGTACAAAAACAAACAGTGATATTTAATTTATGAAATCGTTATAAACGTGTGTCGTATGATACTTGGATATTTATAAAAAAAAGTGATACTTGTTAGTCAGTTTAAACCCTATATGCACAAAGGGATATAATAAGACATAGTTAAAATTATTGCAAAAATGGTTGGAAGTAACGGTACAATGATGGCAATACGTGTTGTTCGCAGTAAACTGAGGAAACGCGAAGAGCACTCTAACTCTGTTCATCCAGAGGCGCCCCAGACAATTACGGCGGTTGTACCACCTGCTGAGCCAGTGGCGTACAGGCAACAACCCATCTGGGTGTTCCCGCCGAACCCGCCGCAGCCCTTCCTGTACAGCAGCAATCAGGTAAATGACAAAAAAAAATCTCATTATTTGTAACACTTTTTAACAATACTAATAAATTCACACAAAGTTTGTGTTATATTCATAATACTGAATTTTGCGACTAAAAAACAACTTTTGCTTCTGTCCGTCAAAGTTCCAAATTCGCTACTCGATCGTTTTTTTAACTCTTGTTGTTCGAAAATTTCGTTTAATTAGAATAAACAGATATCACCCGGCTATTGATAAACGTTTGAACAAAAAATCTAATCCAAAAAAATATTTAGTTATAATTAAGTATGTGTATTATTAAAAGGTTTGATATGCAACTTTTTGCCAAGCCTTTTTTTTACTGAAATGTTTGAATTAATTTCATAATACACAAGTGTTTGTCGACTTTCGCAATGCATTGTAAATATACAAGCAACTGAAAAAATGTTTTTATATAAGCCATTAAATTCACTAGAGTCATATCACGAATAATTTTGTAATTAGCGAAAAATATTTTGATTAAAATATATAACCGGACACAAGTTTTTAGTATGCTTCGTAATATTACATTGCCTCACATACGGCATATCTTATCATGAGTGCTTATTCATATACTTTAATTAAAAAAAAAAATCTGCTGGTAACTAGGATATTAATCTATCAAAAATGCTATGCAAAAATTGTATGTTTATTTGATTTTTTTTAATTTGTTGCAATTTTTAATAAATTGCCTTATGTAAATAAATAACAATTTTTTTTCTTCAATTTACTCAAAATATTGCTTTATCATATTATAATAAGCCGAACGGCAGATTTTAGTCATTGCTTTAAATATTATGAATCCGTAGTTTTTTTCTTTTAGAAAGTTGATTTACAATAGCACCTTGTATTCAGGTTGACGGCTTTATTTTGCAACATTGCCAAATCGTCTAAAGCGTGCGCTTAACTACATCTATGATTTAGTCACTATACCAACCATTTTTACTTTAGCTAATATTAAAACCACGCCAGTTATCTAAAAACTTCTCAATGTTCGTCAATCAGCTGATATCTGTTTGATCTCATTATCTGTACTCATGTTATAAATATAGAAATTTGCCTGGCATTGTTAATAATATTTTTGTTTCTTATTTCAGGACACCCTGTCACAAAATTTGAGCCGCAGCGGTAGCTTCCGTAAGAACTTAGGCGGTCGCTGGAAAAGATTTGTCAAGGGAAAACCTCAACAGGATTCCCATGCTATACCACCTGAATTGAAACCTCAGCTGAAACAGATATTTGTCTACTGAAATATCTGCTTCTAGTACATATTAGTAATAAGTGGCCATCAAAGATATTAAAATTAATTTGCCAGTCCTGTTTATTGAGGGAAGAACTTCAAAATCATCTATTACAAGGATTATTTCAAGTGCCATTGGTAGATAAAACATAAAGTAGATATACCTTAATGCCAGGAGTATATATATAACTAATGAAAAATGAACTAAATTTGAACTGGATTTCAAATTTTGACTGGATCTGTAACTTTTTGTAGTTCCCTTCTATTAAATAGGATATTTGTATTCATCGCATTTTATGACCTGAAGGAGGTCAAATATTCCACTGTTTCTTTTGCATAAATTTTATTAAGTGATAGTAAGAATTTTATACTTAGGGTCTAATCAAAAGAGCCGTCACACTTATTTTTTCTAATTTCATAATTAAAAATTGGCTATATTTGTCCCTAAGTTGTAAAGTTCTTAGTTTATTGTAAATATTATATTTATAGCGTATAGATTCATTTTTCATTGTTGTGATTGACTTAATTGATTTGACATACTGTACTTGAGATATTGACAAATTGCACTTTGTACTGTGATAAAATTAACAAATGCATTTGTATGGATCATTGTTTATTTATGTTAGTAACAGTGCAATTAGTTTTAAATATTGAATTTTAAATTTTCGACTCATATTGAGTTTATAATGCGTATCACATTTCATTGATTCAAATTGTGTGAACGAGTTTGATTGTGATGTATGGACATTAATTTTAATATTAAACTTAATCAGTAATTTAAAAAAATTCCAATTATTAGGTCAGTATTTTAGAGAAGGATTATGTATCATTTTAGCACAATTGTTGTGAAATTATTTATTTTTTAAGAATTTTAAGTCAACTTAATGGTTTTAATCAAATTTATATTATAATTGTCCTTAATACACATTAATTAGTGATCAATAAATGCAATAAGAACAATAATTAGTTTTTTTTTAATTATTTCAGGGATCTATTTTGATCTGACCCTGCTATTGTAAAATTCACACTTGTCACAAATACTTGTTCAATGCCTTAAATAACAAAAAAGAAAACAATTTGGTTTAAAATTTAATTTATCTTATGGATTAACAGCAAAACATGTTGAAATTACTCACATGCCCATATCAAAATGGATGTGGAACAGTTAAAACAAGCCCAATGCTACCAATCATATTATACAATTAAATCGTTTAATAAATGTTAATATTAATATCAATCAATATTAAGTTGAAATTCATAAATGTTAACTACAGTTACATTTTTAGTGGATTTTTTTTTTTTGACATCATTAAAAAACTGAACAATTGAAGCACATGCATTGTTGGAACGAGTTGATAATCACAAAACTGCCAAAAAGCTGTCTTTGCTGTTCAATGAAGCATTTTACACAATATCAAGTGGTGAGAAGACTTACAATATCTATATCTATATATAATTTATATAACTTATAAGCAATTTATTTTTAAAATTAGTTGATACTAAAAAGTATTGTGACACCCAGGTAAAAAAATATTGTATGTATTGTATTCTCGATATTTTTTTAGATTAAATCAAATTGGTATTTCAATGTAATTTCTGATCATATTTGCAACTGGCCTAAATAAATTAGACGATACATTTAAATTAACTGCAACAGTTGTATAAGGTTGCTCGGAAAGTCACTTCGTTTTTTTAACAGAATTTAATTATATTTTTTTGAACCTAACATCACACTTAAGCCTTATGATTATTATATGATTTGAAAACTTATATTTTAAGGCTTGTATGTAAAAAATTCTAATCGCTGACATGCAGTAGTTTTAGGATGGTGCCACTTAGAATACGGAAAGAATTAAGCAGCGTTTTCGACATATTTTACTCTTTTGCTATAGAAAAGGTAAAAAAATCTTTTTAAGTCAAAATTAAATTGATTGATGCATACGGAAATAACGTGCTGATAGTACGACAGTGCCAAAATTGGTTTGCTAAATTTCATTCCTGGTATTTTGATGTCCAAGATGCATCAAGTCCAAAAAGTACGGTTGAAGCTAATAAAGACGCGAGAAAAGCATCAGTTGATGCAAACCAACAAATAATAATAAATGAGATCTCATTGAGTAAAAAATTATCGATTTTCCAGTTCATGACCTCTCAAAAGGTCTGGGATTTTCCTCGAAACTCAATGTATGGTTTTCATAAAAAGAAACGTGTGTCGCACTGGCGTCCGCGATTCGCCTCTGAAAAGTCTTGAAAATTATCAGGTTTTGAAGCGAATTGTCACTAGGAATTTCAAATGGAATACAATACACGCATTTGTACATAAAACAAAGACAAACCTGCTCAAAACAGGTGCAAAACTGAAATTTGCCAGAATAAGGTGATGCAGTACGTTTGGTTAGATTTCAACGGAGTTGTTCATTTTTCAGCTTAACCAGGATAACAAAACGGTTAATTCGGATGCCTTATGTCATATACTTCAATAGAAAAGGTTAGAATTAACCCACAATAAGGTATAGTCCTGCATCAAGACGACGCAAGACCTCACAAAAGTTTGGTCAATCGCCAGAAGCTTTTGAAGCTTGAATGGGACCCAATAACACATTCATCATATTCTCCAGACCTGTCATCATCGGACCATTATTTGTTCCGGTCACTAAAAAAATTTGTAGGCAGTGAAATCTTTACCTCAAATCAGCCTGTTAAAAAGCACTTTGATCAGTTTTTTGCCAATAACGACCAAAACATTTATGATTTCGGAATTATGCTAATACCAGAAATATGACAAAAGATATTCAATAAAAACTGCAAATAATACAAATACATAATTTATTAAAGTAATTGTTTATTGTGCGAAAATTACGCGCAAAATGTCTATAAAAACGAAGTTACTTTCCGAACAACCCAATAGTTTTTGTTAAAGCTTTGGTGCTTTTGAGTACTCTAGGTGCCCTCAACCACCGAACGAACACGAATGATGATGACGAATAATATGCGCAGCTAAAACTGCAAACGAAAGCGAACCGCGCGCATATTATTTTATAAGTCATTTTTGTTCGTGCTCATTCGTTAAGTGAAGAAGTGCCTTTATGGGTTTAGGTCCTTGCTAATTATTAACGCCATGCATTGAAACCGAGCATCACTAGAGCGCGCTCATGTTTTTGTTGAGTGTAAACTCGTGTAGAACGGTAGACGACAGACGACAGTTTTAATAGCTTATATAAGGGGTTAACCCAGCGGTTTCCAACCTTTTCTTCCTTGCGCCCCCCTTTCGAATGAAAAAAATATTGCGCCCCCCCCCCTTCTTATTTTTCTAACAATTTAATTGAAGTATACTTAATATAACTGAAATTATGCCAAATAATACAAAGTATTATAAAAAATATACATACAAACATAACTATTTATTGTAAGAATTTTCTGTTTCACATAAGTAAGACCTCACAAATGGTAATAAAATTTCTAAAGCATTATTTGTCAAAGTAGGAAAATCGTCCTTTACTGGTAACCAAAACTCAATGATATATTTTCGTCCTGAAACATCTGCTTCAATGTGCTATCACTAGATAAATCAATTATCATTTTCTGTTCTGCTGTTGAATGACCAAAATCATCATGTTTCTCAATGACTTCTCAATGACTTCTCAATGATTTCTAATCCATTCGTATTTGGACGTAATTAGATAAAGTAATGCGAAAATTGGTTTCGTAGACTAGTCATATAACTGATATAATAATAAGATCTTTACTTACTTCTATTTCATCAGTAACACAAGTAATTTTAAAAGTGGGAAACATGTTAAAGTTATAAAGTTATTTGATACTAGCTATACACAGTTCTAATTTTTTCATAAAAGCCGTAATCTTGTCTTTCTGAACAAAAGCACGAATTTGAGATCCTTGCATTGATTTATTTAAATCGCTAAGTCTTTGAAAAATATCAACTAAATACGCAAAATTTTGCGAGGAACTTTGTGTCCTAAAACAAGATTGCTCCGTTTCTTTTGTTATCAGCAAGAAATATAGCAATTTCTTTTTTGAGCTCAAACACTCTTAGAAGTACTTTAAGTATTTTGCTGATTTGATTTTGACACTTACTCAGCATTTAAAAATAATATTTTTGAAACAGCTTCGCGCCCCCTTTGGAACGGTATGGCGCCCCCCCCCAGGGGGCGCGCCCCACAGGTTGGAAATCACTGGGTTAACCTTAGCTTACAATAACGCCTCAGAGGCGTCGCAAGGTTTTAGGCTCAAACACAAATATGACGCCTCAGAGTCGTCGTAAGTCTACCGGGCCAAACATGAATAAAACATTTCTGAAACTTGGTGAGGACAAGACATACATCGTTTGTAAGAAGTTTTAAAAAAATATCTAATATAATGTCTTCAAGAAAAGAAAATAGTGAAGCAGTGATGACTTATCAAACATCTTGCAAAGTTAATTGTTCCGCGCACGTGTATAAACAAACTACAGGAATTTTGTGTTTTGTACAGGTTCGAACGCTGAGCAAAGTTGTTTATGTCTTTGGTTATTAGCTGGTAAGCGAAAGGGTTAATTTAAACTAATATTTAGCAGTAACATTAGACATTTGCTTCTTAAAATAAGTAAGGCTTCGTAGCATAGACGGGCTTATATTTATATAGAAATCGCACCGATCATTTGTCGTTCTGGAATCTTCACTAACAAGATTTTTCAAATTAAATATCACTATTCTATAATGTTCATTGAAGCAATTGAATTGCTCTTCTTTAATATGCAGGGAGTGTGGGTTTCATGTCAATTTGAGTCAAATTTTACTAAATATATATGTATTTTATTATTCATTGAGTAATAAATACGATCGTTTTTATTCTGTTTGTTCATGCCTGCTGCACCCTTTAGTTCATGGGGAGTTATCTCCGAACAAATGTATATTACTGTATATTACCCTGTTTTGGAAAGGATTACTATATGGAGCGATAAAAGGATGTCGCTACTAGTTTCAAAATGTAGCGACCTGGCAACCCACATCGCACCTCAACTTGACAGTTAAACATTATCTTTGGCTCATCATGTTGGCAGCACTGCGTGAGCACCAAAGAGTAAGCTTCAGGATTCGGAACTCTCTCAATAAATAATAAATATTATCACACATAGTGTTGTTACTATTTCATTATAAATAAAATACATTTAATATAGAAGCAATATATTGCTAGGAATAATACCAGCGGTTAATTTATATACTGTACAAGTGCTGCCTCTTTCAGATCGCTGAAAAAATTAAAATGGAGTTAATGTCAAATGGCGTAAGATAGCGATCTATTTATGTTTACTTATCTATGCTTTAGTGTATACTTGCGCAATCATGTATTCCGTAGCGTATGTGGGATAATTTTTGCACAAGTTTAGAGACTTATACATGTGTTTACTTGACTGGGCACGCATGGAGAGCTATCCCATGGTTATCTCCGAACAAATGCACGGTACACTTGGTTATACTGTTTTGGCGAGGATTACTATTCGCAGCGATGAAAAGATGTCGCTACTAGTTTTAATTTCATTATTCGAAAAGAAAATAGATGGCTGCACCACAAATCGTTTGTTTGTTTTGGGAAAAACCATAGTAAATTGTTCGCCATTATCTATTTATATTGTGAAGCTCATTTACCAACGTTGTGAAGCGTTTTGTTTATAATTAATTGTGTTCAAGTGATGATTATTAAATTAATGTGGCAAAGTGCAGTGTACCAATTTGTGGTAACTCCAGAAATAATATAAAATTGCATGTCTTTCCGGTATTGTGTTTATATAATAAAAATATGATGGAAATGGTTTAGATGTTTTCAATTTGGGTGCAGAGGGCTTAT